CATAATAGTCCATAAGGTGATGATAATAGTTAAACATGGCAGTTTGTTGCTGTTGCTGCTGAAGATCACAGACATCGATGAGAGGTTTGCCATGACTGTGGGCTCTATGGTGGTGTTGTTTATGAACCTAAATAAGGACTAAATGTCTGTTGTGTGTAGTTTATCTGTAATTGGTAACATATCAGAGACTGTAATGGTCTGTATATGTTTATATATATATATATATATATATATATATATATATATATATATATATATATATATATATATATATATATATATATATATATATATATATATATATATAAACATATACAGACCATTACAGTCTCTGATATGTTACCAATTACAGATAAACTACACACAACAGACATTTAGTCCTTATTTAGGTTCATAAACAACACCACCATAGAGCCCACAGTCATGGCAAACCTCTCATCGATGTCTGTGATCTTCAGCAGCACATGTAAGCTCTGTTAGAGAGTAACTCCATCATTCTGAGTTCATAATAGTCCAGAAGGTGATGATAATAGTTAAACATGGCAGTTTGTTGCTGTTGCTGCTGTTTTTCTCCGGTTTCTCCTTTGTTTTTTAGCGCTTCACTCTCGACAGACAGTCATTTCTGACAGGATTGGTCACCTTGCAAAGGACGTAAAAAGTGATCTCATTGGCACCAAATCACAGAAACACCACACATGAATTGGTCAAGCACAGTATGCAGTTAATCACTCGTGTGTGTGTGTGTTTGTGTATATATATATACATATATTTATAACATAGCATATATTTATAAGGTCCAAGCAAGGAACGTTGTCAAGTTTTGATAAATAGGCTACTACACATTAATAATTTACAAGTACAGCAGTATTTTTTTTACTTTTTACCATTTTTAATTAACTTTTGAGAGCACATTCTTATTTAAACGAAGAAGTTTTTTGCTTTGTTTTTGTCCTCAAACACAGTTAATGTTCAAACTATTTATAATGTTTAAATTGGCTGACAATAATATCCCAAGGTTTCCATAATCCTGGACCAGGCCGTATCCTGAGCAGCTACTGCGGTGGTCAGGGAGGAGTGGAGAACATGAGACTGATTCCTCTGACGCTCCAGGGACAGACGAGTCTTCACTGACGTCCAGCATTCTCCAGCCTCCAGCGCCTAGACTGCAGCTCTGCACAAGACGATTGGCCGGTGGAGAAATGGTCGAGCCCAACCGAGCCTGGGTTCTCTAATTCTTCACTTTCGCCAATAGGTGAAGTTTTTTCCTCGCCACTGTCGCCACTGGCTTGCATGGTTCGGGATCTGTAGAGCTGCGCATCGATGGATTTGCTCTTCAGTGTTTGGACTCTCAGTGGGGAATATTAACCACACTGAACTGGTTTAAACTGAACTTCAACACTGAAAACTGAACAACACTGTTTTCAATTTACTGTGATCTTCTATCTGAAGCAGCTTGGATACAATCTACATTGTAAAAGCGCTATGCAAATAAAGCAGAATTGAATTAATACATATTCTTAATAATAGTAATTAATCTGCCTGTTTTTTTAACCGTGCAGTGCTGTAGCTGCTTAATTAAGCCTGCTACACTACTGTATTTCAACACTGGTCATTATGGTGGTACTTGGTGAGAAAAGTTTGAGAACTACTGTGCTAAAGGATAGCATTTACTTACTGCACCTTTAATACTGTGGCTGGAAACGAATGCAAAAACATTCATACATTTCCCCTCCCACATATCTTATCACCATACTGTATGAGCTTTAATTAAAACTCAATTGTGTCTCAAAAAGTGCTGCATATCAAACTGTTATATGCAAGTGAAATGCACAACATCGAGCGTTTTAATTCAAGTCCAGAAACATGCAGAAAATCAATGGACTGCAGTGACTGCAGGTGATTTATTGACTAAATGTCTCCAGCGCAATTTCTCATCTGACATACAAAAACTGGAGAAAATGCACAAGAATACAGCAGTTTGACACACAATAGTTAAAGACAGCAAAGCTATAAAAAAGGCACTTGATAGTTGATACAGAACACATCATCAATACAAAAAACAAGTACAAAAATGGAGCGGTTACCTCACATACATCTATATATAATCTCTCTCTTCCTAAGAGCAGGATACTGGAGTGTTGAGTTTCCTCTGACTGCGATAAGAAGTGTTGAACACTGGCCCACATAAGACTATGCACATATTAATGCAATCCACAATCAAATACGTTCGAGCAAACAGAAAGGGCTTTAAATAAGACAGAACACAAACACACACACACACACACATTTGCACCAGCAGTTTGTCCTTAATTAGAGCAGCTGTCTGATTAGTGCAGATGAATGTGGCGTGTTTAGCATTGAATGCATGTCCAGTCCAGCGCTCGGCTCAGGATGAAATGCATGCAATCAGTGCTAATGGATTAGAGCGGAGCTGCCAGGGGCCTTTTATTCCTCTGTGGTTGGACATTACCTTAAGTACCCCGGCACTGCACTGCAAATCAGGCCGAGCGGAAAACTAGAGCTGAACAGCGTCTGGAGGATTGAGGAGCACTTTAAGATACCGGCAGAGGAGGAGGAGAAGGAGAAGGAGTAGAAGAAGAAGAAGAGAAAAAGGCGAAAAGAATAAAAAGAATAAAGAAAAAAGAAGAATATGAAAAGAAAAAAACAAGAAAAGGAAAATAAAAGAAAAAAATGATGAAAGAAAAAAACAAGAAAATAAAAAAAACAGAAGAAAAAGAAATACAAAAAATGAAAACAGGAAAGGGAAAAGGGAGAAAAAGAAAAAGAAATTATATAAAAAATTATAAGAAAATAATAACAAAAAAGGTGGCTCTTAATTTTGATGGTTCATTTGAGTATTAGTAGACTGTCTGCTTAATATCTGCTGATTCTGCTCCTTCAACAGTTATTTAACTGACTATAAGTAACTTTGCGGGTCCATGTCAACTTACACTAACTCAAACCCCCCAACCTGACAGTCTACTTATAATCTAATGGGAATTATTTGGCTTGTTGATGCAATGTAACTTAAATTCACCAAACAGACCATCAAAATAAAGTGTGACCAATAGGGAAAAGGAGAAAGAAAAATAACAAGAAAAGGAAAAAAGAAAACGAAAACTGAAAAAAGAAAAAAAAAGAAAAAATAAAGGAAAAAAAGGAACAGAAAATGAATAAAAAGAAAAAGTAGAAGAAAAAGAAACAAAAGAAAAAAGAAATAAAAGAATAAAAAGAAAAAAAGGAAAGGAAAAAGAAAAAGAATAAAAAGAAAATGTAGAAAAAAAGAAATAGAAAAGAATAAAGAAAAGAAAAGAAAAAAAAGAAATGAAAAGGAATAAAAAGAAAAAGAAAAAAAAATTTAGAAAAAAGAAAAAAGAAAAAAGAAAAAGAATAAAAAAGAAAAAGAATAAAAAAGGAAAAAGACAAAAAGAAACGGAAAAAATTGCAAAAAAGAAAAAAGGAAAGGAAAAAATGAAAGGAAGAAAAGAAAAAAGGGAGGAGAAGAGATCAGAGCAGGACTGATTCAGTGAATGGATTGTAGATTCATGGTACAGTCACATTTTAATGCAGCGTTACACATTTTAAACACAAGTTTTGGGATCAATATATAAAGACCAAAATGACTCAAACTCCTGCAAAATCTGAATTAAAGTTACTTTCATTCAACCAGAACCAGTGTTGCTTTTTAACCGGAAATGACACAGGCGTCTTCCAAAAGATAAGAATATGATGCACAAGAGGCATCACTGTGGAAAAACACTTTATAATAACGGTCCATTAGTTATTGCATTAACTCACATGAACACTCTTAACAACATTAACAAAGATGAATTAATCCCTAATAAATGTTAGTAACTGTTTGTTATTGTCAGTAAATACATGAACTAATGGATCGGTATTCTAAAGTGTTACCAAACATATTTCTCAGCTTTTATTTATATTTAATTAAAAACTAAATAAACTTGATTATAAAGTCAGAGTGTGCCCGGGAATGAATAATTCCAGACTGGACTGTAGATCTGAGACGAGTGAATCTCACAAAAGACTAAAACAAGCCCATTTCATACCAAATCAAAAGATAAACGTAGAATCATCTGTGTAGTATTATTCTACAAATTATATAATTATATAATTAAATTTGTGTTACTGCTTAAATGACTTAAAACATTATTTTTGATGCAAACAGGCGTTCATTCTGTTAAAAATAAAAGTCATACTTCACAACAATTATGCATATAATGTAATAATCAACAATATTCATTAACTACACCTCAACATTTAGTAATGCATCGTTGTACTTAATGTAATGAGAGTTAACAACGAACAAAAAGCGACTTTATTTTCATTAATGTTAACAAAGATGATTAAACACTGTAATAAATGTATTGTTTATTGTTAGTTCATGTTAATAAATATATTAAGTAGCATTAATGAATTAACCTTATTGTAAAGTGTTAAGGTTAATATGACTATTTTTATTAACGACAAACAATATAAAATACATATATTACAGCGTTTCTTCATTCCTGGTCTGGAAAACTAACATTTTCACAATTTTTCCCTTTTTTTATGCATAATTTTTATTATTAACACAATAAACTCTGTGTTGCAATATTTAGTTTATTATGATGAAAACAATATTTACTCATTTATTTAATCTATTCAATCTATTTTATTTAATTGTTTATTTATTTAATTAGTATTTTTTTTATTTAATATTATTTTATTTTGCAATGCAAGCCAACACCATCATGACATAAAATTACAATTTGATCAATTTATGAATTACAAAAGACACTAAAAAACAAAGACGGGCTCAACCACCATGGAAAGCAAGTCCCAAAATATGCCAAAGGAATTTTCCTTATCCAATATAAAGTGAGCTTTTTGTTTTTGTGAGATTCACTCATGACGAATCTTAAAATAAACCAGAAATAAGCACAAATGTTGTCTAAGTGCAGGCGCAGCTAAAACACTCACTCCTGCTTCACCATTGTGTCATCTGCTGCTTATAAGAGTTCATAAGCTGTTCCTCCAGCTGAATGACTGGCATGCTAACAGCTAACACTGATCTGGGAGCAGTTCTGAGTGACACATACTGAGTAAACGCTGCAGAAATATCCCTCCATCCATCCCTCCATCAGTCTGCCAGCCGCTGGAGTTTTCACAGCGGGGAGAACGCATGGCTTTTACACAGTGGCTTGTCCTTCTTCGAGTAAAACGTCTTTCCCTCCAGATTAATCTGACAGATCTGAGGTGATCACAAACACAACATAGACACTTCTGTCAACATGGAGAGACTTGGTATGGTAATGACTATAAATGTACGATGGCTGAGAGAGAGCTTAAGACCATGCAATCGCAGAAAACACGTGCAGTTACAGGAAACAGCAGCAATTAAGAAAAGATCTTCGTTGTTTTGACAGCACACGTGCTGCAAATCCTCACAACGCAAACACATTACGATTACGCGCAGCAATTTCTCACAATGCATGCAAATAGCAGAGAAACACAGCGGAAATCTTTCAAGGGGACCCATAAATGTGACAGAACCGGCTCTTCAGGTTATGGTTATTGAGGTTGATAATATACAGAAGACAAGGGAATGGGGTGACACGGTGGCTCAGTGGTTAGCACTTTGGCCTCACAGCAAGTAGGTCGCTGGTTTGAGTCCCGGCTGGGTCAGTTGGCATTCTGTGTGGAGTTTGCATGTTCTCCCCGTGTTGGCGTGGGTTTCCTCAGGGTGCTTCGGTTTCCCCAACAGTCCAAACACATGCGCTATGGGGGAATTGGATAAACTAAATTGGCTGTAGTTTGTGTGAATGGCTGGAAGGGCATGCGCTGCGTAAAACATATGCTGGAATTGTTGGCAGTTCATTCCGCTGTGGTGACCCTGATAAAAAAGGAACTAAGCCGAAGGAAAATGAATGAATGAATGAAGATAAGGAAATGGTGTAATCAGGATGTTAAAATAAACTAAATCTCACCTTTCAAAAATCATCTACAACTGCACGCAGCAATAGTCAAGGCACAATAAGGCTGCGTCTGAAACTGCATACTTCCATACTATACAGTACGCTAAAATCAGTATGCGAGCCGAGTAGTATGTCCGAATTCATAGAATTCGAAAATCAGTTGGCGAGAAGTACCCGGATTACTTCCGACGAGATTCTGAAGTGCGCATCCCATGCACGCTGCGCTATCCCATAATGCCCTGTGAGAGAATTCATGAAGGGAAGTGAGGCGACGCAACTGACGCAGGTAGGTCACGTGACCATGACAAAATGGTGGATGTAGTACGTCCGAACTCCATTCATACTTTTCACATTCATACCATATAGAGAGTACTTTTTAAACGGCCGAGTAGAACGTTTAAATATATATATATATGTATATATATATATA